CTTCTTGGGTTTCCCCAGCATTTCCAATGGTAGGGGATCTTGGTTGTAAGCCAAGCCTATATGTGCAGATTACTTGCCACAGGTTTGAGTACCTATCCTGCTGGTGTCTCAATGGTTTCTTGGTATGAGGCAACTAGTTCAGGCAGGTTGCCGGTGGTTTTTACCATACTTTGCAACTGTAAGACCTTGGATTCACCTTATGCCTTTTCTCATCTGTTTCCTGGTGAAGGAACGTGGTCCAAGCTTTTGAAAAGCTATTTCTGGCAAGGATGATCCGCAAACAACTGCACGGAGTTCACCTTCCTTGCGTGACAGATTGCAGGGCTTTATTTTACTTTGGAGTTAAGTTGCTTGTGTTTGTTTCTGTTCATCTGTTTTCGTGTTTTGGTTCTAGTTGCTTTTGTTTTTTGTGTTGTGTAAAACTTCTACTTGAATATTAATAGAGTATGTTTTGATGACCCCAAAAAAAAGTTGGGGAGCGAAGAAATTTACCTCCGTATCAATGGTTAATCATTTTATATATTTTTTATTAATGTGATTAATTATTTTATAGTTTATTTCATGCAGGATGTAAACATTAAAATTACATTGTATTTTGATAATAAGGTGGAGGATTACCGAGCCCTTCGGACCAAGTGGCAATAGTCATTCATGGTGCATTTCCCCCTCCCCCAGGGCTGAGGTTCGAACCCAGCCTTTTGTAAAATCTGTTCAAAAAAAAAAAAAAAGGTGGAGGATTAAAATTAAGCGAAAACAGTAAATTAGAAAAAAAATTGTCACTTTAAAAAATTAAAAATGATAATTAGTTATAACAATATTAATAGAAAATCGATAATTGTCTTGGAAGAAGGGAGTATTATTCTAGTTTGCATTCACCAAAGGGCCAGTCAATGAATTTGGATTTGGTAGAGGAACAAGAACTTGAGAATCTTGCTTATGGGGTAATGGAGATTACAGTCAAAACAACTGGAGAGATAAAGGCAACCTCAAACAATTTTGTTATTCAGAAAGAAAAACTGTCGCACCTCCTTTTTCCTTGGACCCCAATCTCAGTCTCTCACAGTCAAAAAAGTGACAGAATGCACGGCATTGCATGTGATCCTATCCTCCTTTTCTTTTCCTTTACTGTGAATGTAGTTGAACTGCTTTAGTTTGGTAGCAAACCAATTGAAAGATGACTGATACCAAAAGCTTTTTCACAATTTCTTCTTTGTTAATTGTAAAACAAGAAGCTTTTAAGTAATTGGGGTAGCTTTTTATGATAATGAAATGAAACCAAAAAAAAAAAAAAAAAAAATTCCACGCGAACAGGATATTTTACATTCCCCACGTTTCAATATTCATTTCCATCAAAACCAAACAGAATAAACCTCGAGTGAGATTTTCTCTGCAATTCTCCTTCCTTGCAGAATTTTTAAGTCATTTGTAATTAAC